CTCTACAGGAAAGCTAAGTAACTAATTACTGGCACTGAACGATCCACATTTTGAATTTTTTTTCAAACTGTTAGGCATTTTTGTGCAAAGAACGACTAAGCTCATCCGACTTCTTTTTGGTCGTTAGGAACAATTGTCTCCTTTATGTTGTTTTCGTCCTTCACTCTTACCTTATGCGATCGACACCATGCCCAAGTGAGGCCATAGGGTGTATTTCTAAAGGTAAAAACCAAAATGCGTGAAATAGCAACTCCAATTTGCGATTGTTTGACTTATAACAAGAGGAGTGATTTTTCCCACCATAGGTATTTTCCTTCGCCCCAAAATACTACGTAACTCGCAATTCAACCAGGTTGTTTTAGAATGTATTTTATCTTTGTCCTAGATTTTGTGGGTAGTTAAAGGAGATTTTCAATTTTGTCGCTATATTTCCATTGTCATCAAACAGCCAAATATTTTTAACTAGATCCAGCAGAAAACAATTTTCTAACATCTTGCTTTTTTTTTATTTCTTCCAGTGAAGCGAAGATTACAAGTTGAAATATTCAGGGAAACTTGGTTACTCCATATTCTGGTGTGTATAACTGTTGCGGTAGAGTAGATTGGAAACTTGAAATTTCATATGAAGCCCTCTTATACAATATTAAAGAAAATTAGTGACTAGTTTATTTCTCTTTATTTCGCAGGTGCACTGTACCTGGGAACAATAAAAAGTTTCAACCTTGGAAAGTAGTCTAAATTTGAAATTTAAAAACTTCCGGAAACTTCTTCCTTGTGGTCCACTTTTAGGACGCAAAGTACGGACAGGCTTCCTCGATATATTCGAAGAAAACATTTTTATGAGCCTTTTGAAGCTCCATCTACGTTACTTTGTAGATGTCACGAGGAATGACCTTTTCAAGCAATTGACTAAGGCGAATTGTAAACCTTATTACATATCGTAATGGGCATGCGTCTTATAATACGCACGATCGACCCCCAATTTTTCGTTCCTTCCAAGGTTGACTTCCCTTAGTCGTCCATTTTAGTCAGTTTTCGAAACTCTTGATAGACGTCATCTACCCTGTGGTATAAACATATTTAAAATTACAAAACAATATTTTAATATACATGTATATTACAAGAGTAATATAACAATCGTTTTCTGACAGTCTTATAATACAGTGATATTACATCAATTTTAGTAGATAAATTGGAGACTGATTCTTCTCAAATTTTATAGTCAGCAAATTCAGTGCTCTTTTTTTTAAAGCGTGCTTATCAGAGAACATAGGGTCACATATAATACTTTTTTTAAATTAACATAACTCACTCGTGTGATACTTTTCAAATTTCAGCTCAAAGTGGCAAACACGTCTCAAAGCAAGAGCCAATCGCATCCCTGTCTGATCATGGAAACGCTGCCTGCGAGTGGTCAGTCCCTTCTTATGTACTCCATATCTTGAAAATCTTTGAAAGCCCCATATCATCGTGACATTTAATCTAGAGGCAGTTTGCTTAACAACTGGCTTGCTTTTAATGGAAAGGAAATGGCAGAGGAAG